TATAGTGTGTTTTTAAGGAACTGCTTATTGTGATGTGCCCTCAGGTTGACACCAATTAATGGCGAACCTATGCACAGTATCTCTGAACACTCCTCTATCCTGATCCAGTCTCATTGTCTGCGACACACTTACCCACATTATCCCAGTTACTATGTCAGTCCATCTCCTCCAGCGTCTTCCTCTCTTATATGTTGTCCTTTTTCAAGGACTGGTCCCTCCTGGAAACATGCCCCAAATATGTCAGATGGAGTTTCAAAATACTTGGCTCCAAGGGGCAAGCTCCTTACATTGGTCAAGCCTTGGTTTCATGCTCTCTAGTACAAACCTGTTTGTCCTCTTAGCAATCCGTGGAATGTACTCTTCTCCAGCACCACAACTCAAAGGTATCAGTTCCTCTTCTGTCATCTTTAGTCGTTGTCCAGCTCTCTGATGCATAGCAAGTAACACCATGTGAAGACCATGGCCTAAATCAGGCTCACCTTAGTCTTTAGACTGACTTCATTGCTCTTTAGTACTCTGGAGAGGTCCCATGACAGCAGTTAATCTTTTGATTTCCTGACTGCTGATGCCAAGAGTGTTTGTTGTGGAACTGAGTAAGCTGAAATTGTTAACAACCTCAATCTTTTCTCCATCCATCTTAGTGCTGCCAGTTGGCTCAGTGGTTAGAATCTTTTTCTTCTTGATGTTGAACTTCAACATCAAACTGCATTCATTGACCTTCTGCAGAAATGCTTTAGATCCTCTTCAGTTTTGGCAAACAAAGTTGTGGCATCTGCCTGATGCAGGTTGTTGATGCGTCTTCCGTTAGTCGTGATGCCATATTCCTCCTCATAAAGCCCAGCCCCCCCAAAGATCTGTTTTGCATATAGATTGAAAAAATATGGAGACAACACACACCTCTAACACACTCTCTTTCTGAATTTGAACTATGCAGTGTTTCCATGCTCTGTTCTGGCCCACTGCTTCCTGGTCCAAGTATAGATTGCACATGAGCACAATCAGGTGTTCTTGGGTTTCCGTTTTTCTCAATGCTAGCCCCAATTTATTGTGATATACAGTCATATGCCTTTGCATAAACACAGACATTCCTCTGATACTCTCTGCATCAGACATTGGCTATGTTGTCCCTTGTGTGTCTTCTAAACCCATCTTGTATTTCTCTGTCAGTGTACTGTTCAAGTTGGTTTTGGATGTTCTTCAACAGGATTTTCTTGGATGTGATATTAATGATATTTTTTATAATTGCCACACTCTGTTGGATCATTTTTTGGGGGCAAGGGGGATGAGAATAAATATGAATCTCTTCCAGTCAGTTAGCCAAAGAGTTATCCCCCAGATTTCTTGGCACAACTTGGTGAACACATCTAGGACAGCATCTGTTTGTTGAAATATGTCAGTTGGAATTCCAGCAATACCTGGGGTGTTGTTTTTTGCCCATTTCTTCAGAGCAGCTTGAACTTCTTCCTTCCTCACTATTGCCTTTTGAACATGTGTTGTTTCATGAAAGTCTTCTTTGTCATCTAATTCTTTTTGTGTTGTGACCCTGCGTACTCCTTCCATCTTCTTTTGTTAGTTCCTGAATCATTCAGTATTCTGCCCATGTTGTTATGTGCTGTCGCGTCACCTGTGCCTCCTATGAGTGTCTATGATTCTGCCCATAGCATCCATAAATATTGCCACTCAAGGCTTGAATTTGTTCTTTAGTTCCTTTAGCTTATGAAATGTTGAGCAAGTTCATCCCTTTTGTTTTTCTGACTCCAGGTAGGATAGACTCAAGGTCAACTTTGGTTCTTGTGGATTTGTTTTCATTTTCTTTAGCTTCAGCTTGAACTTGCATATGAATAGTTTATGGTCTGTTTCACAGGCAGCCCCTCACCTGGTTTTCACAGCTGATACCCTTTCCAGTGATTCTTTCCACAGATGTACTCAATCTGATCCCTGTATAGACCATCAGGTGAGGTCCATGTGTATAGTCACCATTTGTGTTTCTTATAAAAGATACTTACAGTTGATTGTACAAAATTCTATCATTCTATCTCTAGCCTGATTTCTATCACCAAGTCCATATTTTCTTACTACTGACCCTTCTTTTTTTCCCCCAACTTAAGTATTCCAGGCACCCATTATTATTAATCTTAGTTGTATGTTCAGTTTATTTCCAACTGTGAAAGTTGGTAGAAATCATCTATTTCCTCCTCTTTGACTCTAATTGTTACTACATGTATTTGAATGATAGTGTACTAACATGTTTCTTTGTATATGCATATGAATATTATCCTATCACTCGCAACATTCTATTTCTGGATGGATCTAGAAATGGTCTTTTTAACTATTAATGTAACCCTGCTTTTTCTCACCTTTTCGTTTCAGCATAGTAGATCAGTGAATTATCTGATTCAAAATGTCCCATGCCCATCCATCTCATTTTGCCAGTTCCCAGTATTTCAATATTTATGTGTTCAATTTCTTTTCCTTAACAATGTCCAATTTTCTTACATTCATACTTCTCACATTCCACATACCAATCCTGTACCTGGACTTAAGAAACTAGGACGCATTTTTCTTCCTAACCATAAGTTTATAGTTCATCAAGAGTGACATTTTCTTTTTCCTTTTACTGTGATTTGAGAAACTTTGGTGGCTTAGGGATAAGGAATCGTGCTGCCAGTGCAAAGGTACACCATTTAAATCAACATGCTGCTCCATGGGATAAAGATGGCCAGTCTCCTCCCATGTGCCTCTGAAAACATGCTATAAGGTCAGCTGTGGGTTGGTTCCAACACATTGGCACACAAGAACAACAACATGCCTAGAAAAGGGTCTTTATGCCCAATATATATGCTGTGAATGTTTGTTGAGTTCAGTTGATTTTGAAGATCTCTGACTGCTCAGGCTTAGGCTGGTTTGTTTATAAGTGCCTCTCTAGATCAGAGAGTCTCATTTTCAGTGTCTTCCTTACAACCTCCCAGCAACATGGGATTCTCTTCGCCAGAACTTGAGAACATTTTAGAACAAGAGCATTTTCAGGTTCAAAGGACCATTTGGTTGGAAAAAACTGAGTGTACACTGAATAAAAATAATAATGACTGAATACTCCAAACATGTGGGAATAGTTTTTAAAAGGTATTTAGAAAGGAAATGGGAAGCAGAGCACTTCTGATCTCAAAACCTACTATTCAGCTATAATAATCAAAACTGCATGGTACTGGTACAATGACAAGTACAGAGACCAATGGAACAGAATAAAGGATTCTGAAATTAACCCAGCTATGCATGGTCAGCTGGTATTCTACAAGGAAACAAAGCCTATCAAATGGGGAAATGACAATCTCTTGAGTAGATGATGTTAGCAGAACTGGACTTCTATCTGCAGAAAGCTGAAGCAGGATCTACATCTCACACCATACACAATAATCAACTCTTGGTGGATCAGAGATGTATGGATAAAGCCCCAAACCATAAAGTTCATAAGATACAAAGTGGGATTATGATTAGAAGGCCTAGCCTGTGGTATAAAGAGACAAATACAGCAAGAAATATACAACCAGGAGAGGATAAAATTGATGTGACCTTCTAAAGATTAAATCCCTGTGAACATCAAAAACTTTTTCTGGTAGGGCGAAAAGAAAACCTACTGACTGCAGGAAAAACCCAAACACTTGGCAATACCATCTCAGACAATGATTTCATAACAGAAGTTTACAAAATACTATAGGGCTTCCACAAGAAAAAGACTGATAATCAGTTACAAAATGGGCAAAAGACATGGAAAGACTTCATAAAGGAAGATATTCACATAGCCAACAGACACATAAAGAGATGCTCAAAATCACTGGCAATAAGAGAAACTGGCAAATCAAAACCACAATGAGATACCCAGTAGCAGTGCCAAAGTTTAACAGGACAGCAAGTAATAAATGTTGAAGAGGATGTGGTGAGATAGGAACTCTTTTTTTTTTTATATTTATTTTATTATTTTCTCTTTGTGTGTACTGTCAAATTGGATCAGACTGGTACAGGAGAAGATGGCCCCTCCTTCTCCGGCAGAGCATCTGGTGGATTCGAACCACATTCAGCTTCTTGCCACTAGGCCACCAGAGCTCCCCTGAGATAGGAACACTTATACACTGTTGGGGGGATTGTAAAATGGTACAACCACTCTGAAAGACAGTTGGATATTTTCTCAAAAAGCTCAACATAGGGATTCCACATGACCCATCTATTCCTCTGCTTGGAATATGTCCCGAGAAAATAAGAACTGAGACACAAATGAAGATTTGCACCAATGTTCATAGCAGCACTATTCATAATCACAAGAACATAGAAACAGTTCAGATGTCCAACCACAATTGAATGAATGAATTGAGAAATTGTGGTACATTTACACAATGGAATACTATGCAGCACTTAGGAGCAACACTTTTGAAAATTACTACATAACTTGGGAGCGCCTGGAGAGCATTAGGCTGAGTGAACTAACTCAGTCTCATAAGGACAAATACTGCCTAAGACTACTTGTAAAAATAGAAGGATAACTAGTAAAACATGTATGGGGATCCAAAGAGGTATGGGTTGGGAACAGGGGATACAGAGTGAGTAGAGGGTCGGGGGAATCAGAGTCACACGATTTGGTGGGTTGAAGGAGGGAGTAAAGGAAATGGGAAGGATCCAGTAGGGATCTGGAAAGATGGTATAATGGTAGGCATAGTTCAAAATGGTTATTAATTTTATTATTAAATACAGTGAATGGGAATGGTTGTCTGAAGCACAATGTGAATGAAGGATAGTGTGAAACACAATGTATATGAATTTTGTATGCAAACTAATACAAAATAAAAATTTGTGAACTATTTCAAGAAAATACCTTTTATCTTCCTTCATAAATGTTTTCTTGGAAATAGTGAAACAATTCAGCAAGGAGTATCCTTGTGGTTGAAGTCCATCTGATCAGCTACACAGGATTGCATGTGATGCTAATAAACAGAATGTGTCTCTTTCAGGTGGCCCAGGCCTGCACAGCACCATGCTGGACCTTGACACTGAAGTACCCTCCTCAGTGTTGGGGCACCTTAGTCAGACAGCATCACTCAAGAGGGGAAGTAGCTTTCAGTCTGGTCAAGATGACAGTAAGTACCCACCCACTGTTCCTCCATTCCCCACTCTTTGGGCAGCCTCTTAATAGTACTCCCATGCAACTGTATTCTCTTGGAAAATTCAAATGTTTTTTGAATGTTATTAAATTTTCAGTAGTGTTTCTTGCTATAAAGTATCATCAACTGTCATGTCTTGTGTTTCTTGAATAGTTGAAAATTAAAGTACAGTACAAATTGCCTTTTATATTAAAGAAATATTTGATATTTTCTAGATCGTTGTGTACTATGTTTATTCTTAATTTTTATTTAAGTCTGTTTTTATTTTTTATAAGTATGACACATAGCATGAGTGGCATCCACTTCCTAAATAACATGCCTCCGGAAACTCTATGAACTTTGATAAATGTTGATAGTTGTAAGAGGGGCTTCAGGCCTTTTGTTCATAGGGTCTCTGTGAGTTGTGCTTGACTGGAAGACAATCAACAAGAACAATATGCCACCTAGAAAGTTTATCCTTTAACCACATTAGATCTATTCTGAAAAGTTTTAAACACTTAAAAATAAATAAAAAAGCATTTGTTTCCCACTGGAATGCCAAACTTATTTCACCTGGGGAAGTTGGTTGGTGGTTAAGATGAAAATCTCTTCCCCATCACTTTGCATTTACATAGCCTGAGGTTGACTTGCTTGGTAATTGACCTTTAAAGCATTCCTAATTATGTTGTTTCATTGATCTGGTTGAGATACTGCTGTCATGCAGTGGAGGCAGTGCTATGAGTTCTTACTCTTGGCTCTAACCAGGGAAACCAGGTGGACAAGACTATAGAGAAGTGTAGGTTCAAATAGATGAGAAATAGGAAGAAAGTGCAGGAAATAATAATCATTGAGTAAAGAAAGATGGAGGATGTTGGAAAATGGTGAATGGTTGCTAAATCAGGACACTTGTTTTTATTCCTATGAACTTACTCTTCCCAGAAGAAATCTGGAATTCCTCACTTCCCTGGTACAACCATAATTCTGTTAAATGCTGTGTTAAAAGCAGTGTCAATTTTTTTTAGATTTTCTTAATTTTTATTTAAGAAATTGTTGATGACATGATTGTACTTGAATGTATTACTTTTTAACAACTAGATTCCTTACAGAATCCTCATCACTAGGATGTAGACTGGATAGTCTAACAGATTGATTAAAAGAACCCATTTGCACTCGTGCCTGTTCTACCTCCTAGTGGCCCTATAGTGCAGAGTACAGCTGCCCCCTAGGCTTCCCAAAGCTTAGGTTTGTTTGTAAGGATCACACTGTCACATCTTTATCTTGCAGGGCAGCCATCAAATTAGGACCACCAGACTTTGGTTTGTTGTTGTTGTTATGTGCCGTCGAGTCGTTTGCAACTCATAGCGACCCTATGTACAACAGCCCTAAACCGTGCTCTATTCCGTGCCAATCTCATTGCCTCTGACACACCCATCCCGAGTAACCCAGTCACTGAATCAGTCCACCTCATAGAGGGTCTTCCCCTCCTGCGCTGTCCCTCTACTCTACCCAGCATGATGTCCCTCTCTAAAGACCTGTCTCTCCTTACAACATGTCCAGAGTATGTCAGACGAAGCCCCAGAATCCTTGCCTCCAAGGAGCAGCCTGGTTTAACCCTCTCTAGGATGAATCTGTTTGTTTTCCTGGCAGTCCATGGTTAGCAGCCAGTTATTTCGCTTCTGAGCTAACAGGTCTTTTAACAGGCAGATAGTTGTTGGTTTTTATTATCATTAAGTTGCATCTGACCCATAGCTGACCCTCCACTGGCTTTTCAGAGGCAGTAAAGCACACAGGAGATTGCCATTCTTTCTCCAGAGGAGCATCTGGTCAATCTGAAACACGTACCTTAATGTTGGCAGCCTAATTCTGTACCACTAAGTCACTAATAGCAACCTTGACTTTAGTTATTAGCTGTGAGGCAGCCTCTGCTTGGCTCTGTTTGACTGTTTAAAGAAATGGCTTTCTTAAGACAACCTAGATGTCCTGAGGACAATCAGATAAGAGGACACAGCCACCTTCCTAGACACAGTCCTTACTTCTGATGCTTGACTACAGGTCCTCTGCAGTGCTCCTTGCCTACAGGGCACCCTTGGTACTGATAGGTTTGTCTTATAAACAACCAACCAACCAACCTGTGAATGCAGGCTGGAAATGTCTGAATTAGGGTGTCCTCCCGGCACCTGAGTCCTGGAAGATGTCTCCAGCAGGCAGTGGAAATAAGAGAATTGTATGTCGGCAGAGTAAAGTGGTTCTGGTAAAGTGACACGTTGCTTTTTCTATATATGTTTTGGCAGCTTTTGGTGTACATTTTACTTTATGATGCTCGAACAGCAACTGTTCAAATAAATCTTTCTTATTAATTCCTGCTATTTTATTCTTCCTCCATAGCCTGGAGATATAAAACTCCCCACCGGGTGGCGTTTGTTGAAAAACTGGCCAAACTTGTTTTAAGTCAGCTGCCTAACTTTTGGAAGCTCTGGATTTCTTATGCTAATGGAAGCCTTTTCAGTGAGGTAGGTATAAGAGTAGAGGAACTTGACTGTGGGTGGAACTATGTCTGAATCTTCAGTTAAAATTTTTCAATTTTGATATGATTTTTAAAAACCTTAGAATTATTTTCTGGAGAATTTTCCCCCTCAGTCTATTTAAATTCTTATTTGCCCATTCTCTCTTTGCTTTTAAGTCTGCATCACCCCTGGATCTTGGTTTATATAATGAATTTTTATAAAACCAAACCATAAACTTTTACATCATTTGACCCTACCCTGAGGTGCATGAAAAACAGTAGACCCCATCTCTTGAGCATGACTTATCAATGTATTTCCTTCCTTTGATTTCAGCATTTTAGTTTTATAAACAAATATCCAAATATTAAATTATACCAATATACAATATATTTCAAAACTTTCTTATCTTCCTTTTGTACCATGTGGCTATGTAAAAGTTCTGTCAAAAAGATAACTCTATAGCGAGAGTTCTTTTTTCAGAAAGGCAATGTTGGGTTGTTGGTCTTTACAAGTATGAAGTGACTTAACTGCTGGCTTTGAAAGAGAGTGCTTTAATTTCAGATTTGCGAATGTCTTGAATTCAAGTTTTCTTGCTGTTCTGCTTCAACACGTCACACATCATGCTGCAGTTTCGCTAACGTCAGCTTGATGAGAGCTACGTGGTTCTGTGTGCTGGTTATGTTACCTGATCTCTTCTCTGCCAGATGGGAGCTATACCACTGTGCTGTGCCTTTCTATCCTTATCAGCCCCATGAAGACCATCCTAAGAGCACCTCCCCCATCCTCCGGAGAAGCCTGCTCATGTCCTAGTTACAGAGCTCAAGGGCCATCCGCTGTAGATCATGTGTTAGCCTTGACACAGTCTGTGCTGCTGCTCCAGAGTTGGTTGTCAAAACTGGATCACTTCACTTTCTTGAAGCACTTAGAACACTGTCTGGCAGACACACTGATTGGCACCTATTTTTCAGAATGAAAATTTTTCCTGAAATTTTCTCTCCCTAATACATAGTAAGTATCCAGTGAGGATTTGTTAAATAGCTCTAAGTATAGTCCTGGACTGATGAGAGTGGTGTTGACTGTGGCCAAGATGGACTAAACTCATCTAGAGAGTAGCCCTTTTTGGACCTGGCTACCTTGCATAGAGCATTTCCTCCAAATCTCTTCAGCTGCTGTACACAGCAGCACAGCACATTGGGACTAACCCACTCAAGACAGCTAGCTCCCTCCAGGAACCCTGGTGCTGGGAAAGCTGGAAAGCACAGAATCTGGGGTAAGCAACTAATTTACTGCCCACTGTGCCACCAAACCTCCCTGGAGTCCTTTTAGAATGTGAAAACCTTACAACTTTTTTTATTCAAAACATTTTTGTACAGGAAAAAAAAAAAAGGAAAATATATTTTTTTCCTTCCTAAAAAGGTCACACTTAGTTTTAGTAAAAATATAACTAAAATAGTTGCCAATTAAAAGAACTCATGAAAAGAGTAGCACTGAAAAATTGTAATGAGTGCTATTTGTGCTTTATTGACTATGAAAAGGCATTTGACTATGTAGATCATAACAAATTATGACTAACATTGAGAAGAATGGAAATCCCAGAATCCTTTATTGTGCTCCTGTGAAACCTATACATAGATCAAGAGGCTATTGCGTGAACAGAGCAAGGGAACACTACAGGGTTTAAAATAGGGAAAGGTGTGTTTCGGGGTTGCATCCTTTCTCCTTACGTATTCAGTCTGTATGCTGAGCAAATTACTGAAGACGCTGAACTCTTTGAAGAAGAATGTGGCATCAGGATTGGAGGAAGACTCATCAATAGCCTGTTATGCTGATGACTCAATCTTGCTTGCTGAAATGAGAAGCATTTGAAGACTTTGTTTCAGAACATCAAACACTGCAGACTTCGATATGTATTGCATCTCAGTGTCCAGAAAACAAAAATTCTTCACCACTGGACCAGTAGGCAACATCATGATAGATAGAGAAAAGATTGAAACTTCCAACAACTTCATCTTACATAGATCCACAATCAACACACTTGCTACCATCAATCAGGAATTCAGGCGACATATTACACTAGAGAAGTCTGTAGTCAGGGAACTCTCCAAATTATTGAGGAGAAAGAGGACTAAAATGTGCCTGATTTAGGCCATGGTCTTTTCAGTCACTTACTGTGCCTCTGTGAACTGGACAAGGAATAATGATGACAGAGAAGGATTGATTCCTTTGAATTGTGCTGAATTGTGAAGAGTGCTGAATATCCCATGGACTACCAAAAGAACAACCAGATAAGACTTGGAGAAGGCGAAGGCAAAGTACTCCTTAGAGGCAAAGCTGATAAAGCTTCATCTCGCATATTTTGGCATGTTACTAGCAAGGGTTATTCCTTGGAAATGTGGAGGGTCAGCAAAAGAGAAGATGACCTTCAACCAGATGTATTGACACTGTGACTTCAGCAATATGCTCAAGCATTGTCAGAGATTGTGAGGATGACATAGGACAGAACAGGATTCAATCTGTTGTTCACTGTGGGTCTTACTTGACTTGATGGCACCTAACAAGAAGAACCACATTGTTGAATGCTGAATATGCCTGTAATATTTATACTGCCAGGGCTTATACAGGTTTCATGAAAGTTTATTTTAATAAATATTAAGTATAATTATTCTTACAGATTTAGGCACATTTTTAAATGGTTTATTCTCCATTGAATACTTACAATCCATTTTGGAAATTATTAAATGAGTATTGCAAAATTGGTAGGTTTAGGGTAGTTTGTATTTAACTATAGGGAGCCCCGGTGGGCTGCTAACTGCATAGTTGGCTATGCAAATCCACCCCCAGCAGCTCTGTGGACAGACATGGTTGTCTGCTCCTAGGGAGAGCATAGCTCCGTGGGATGGCCTCACTCTGTCACACGATCCACTGTGAGCTAAAATCCACTGGGTGGCATGCAGCAACAACAGTTTAACTTCATACCAAAGAACTTTATAATATTTAAATGTCATTTACTTGGCCTGTTTTGTTGTTGTTGTTGAAATATTTTATTAAGAATCTGTCCGTTGAAGATTTCTAGGTCTTTCCAACAGTTTAAAACACAGTCACTTCTACACACCAGTCAAGGCCATGTGAAGTAACATATGTGAATCAAAACAGTGAAATCTAGCCGTTGGCCTCACCACAAAGCAGTTTTGGTCTGTGTGTGCAGGAAAGCGTTAAGGCTTTTGATTACCGAAATGATGAATAGAAAGTTAAGATCTCACCTTTAGATATATTTTAATATGGTCTATTTTTTGGATGAAAATCTTTAACGTGTCAAATTGATTTTTAAAATTAGGAATCAGCATTTTTAAGAAGTCTCAGGACTCAGGGTACGTAAGGTGAAATACACTTTATTTTGCAGAATTGGGTTTTTCTTATAAACATAGAAAAAAGCAAACTGGTTGCCACGAAGTCAGTTATAACTGACAGTCACTCTGTGGATCGAAGAGCACTTGCCCCGAGGCAACCAAGGCTGCCAGTCTGTGTGGAAGCAGAACACCATGTTTGCTTCTGCAGAGCAACTGGAAGCTTCCACCCGTTGACCGTTCAGTTAGCAGCCAGGCACTTAACTGCTGTGCCACCAGGGCTCTTCATAAAAACAGGACAGCCCTTCCTCGGTTCAGTATGTTAGACACTGCATCAAATTGAAATAACAAATGACTTTATAAAAGAATTCTATTAAAAATTACATGAGGTATGCCATACAACTAATTTCCCCTTTCCTTTATTTTCCATGTCTTCTAGACACAAATAATTCCATTGTATAAAATTATACTGCCTAGTAGGTTTGATTATAGGGCAAAATTGTCCTGATAAAATTTATCCTAAATTCTGATGCAATGTTTTCTAACCACTGGTTTTCACTTTTTTCCCTTCAGCTTAAAACTACTTAATAGAACAAATGCTTATGGAATAGGCTTTCAGTCAAGCAGCCCCACGTAGGCAAAGCTCAGTGTTAAAGGGACTATGGGTCTGTAGTATAGGAGAGACATTCTGGCAGCCAAAGCAAGAAGGATTGAGAGGGAGACTAACTCCTGGGTGACCCTCACAGGGATCATGACACAGCAGAAGTAATAAGTGATTCATGATGGATACTGAGCCTCTCAGTGGCCAGAGTAGTCTGTCCAACCTGCAGCACACCCTTTCTTACATCTTCTATTAACTTGTTAAATCTCAAGAAGGACTGGGCGTGCTGACTTTTCAGGAGCATATCATGTACAATCGTGCCTGGCAGGCCTTTTTCAAAGGGCCAGACTGGCATGTTGAGACCACAGCATCAGGACTTTAGATTGCAGCACAGCTTTTTGCCACTAGGCCACCAGAGCTCCCTAGCATCAGGACTTTAAAGAAGACTTTCAAAACAACCTGGTGGTCTTTAGGGAATTGTGGTAATAGTCTGGAGGGAGTTGTGCTGCTAACCCAAAGACCGGACGTCTCTGGCTATTTTAATTCACCAGAAGCTTTGCAAGTAAAAGATGGACAGTCTTCTCCCTCTGGCTTACAGACTGGGAAACCAAGTTGAGGGTCAGTTAAGAGTTGATATGTACCTCGCCAACAGTGAGTAAATTTCTGTAGGGTACTTCTGCTTTTTTTTTTTCTGATGTGTGTGTGTGTGTACCGTCAAATTGAATCTGACTGGTATAGGAGGAGATTGCCCCGCCTTCTCCAGCAGAGCATCTGGCAGATTTGAACCGTACTTCTACATTCTTACATAGATCCAAAGAAAGCCTGAAGAGTTCCAGCCCGAGGCTACTGTTCACTCACCTTATATCTTTTGAATCCTCTCGGTAGTTAAATGAGCATCTGAATGAGCGGTTGCATGTGCACTCTGGAAAAATAGTAGCATATTTTCCCCTCCATAACTCCTAAAGAATTCTTTTCCGACCATAGGAAATGTCATACTTTTGTACAGATTTCTTAGGAAATCTGTTCTACCCCCAAACCTCCTGTCTGGTCTTGAGCAGCAGCCTGTCCTGTGATTGGTGTGCACTGTGCAGGGATTGGTCAGTATATTGTGTGGGTAACCTGCAGGTGGCCAGTGAGAGGGGACTGGTTAGATTATGGCTCAGATGAGAGAGACGTGCCTTCAAAGTGACAAAGAGTTATAGATAAGAACAGTCCTACAAGCATTTTTGTCGGGAGAAGTAAAAAGAAGAGAAAGATGAAAGGCAAAAAGCCTCCTAGAAGAACTCTATCATAAGCCAAGGACAATAGCACTGAAGACAGCAACAGCCCTGGAAGGAACTCAGTACCAGTGCTTTTGGTGACTGACCAGAGAGACCTGCAGCAGAACTCATGACAGCAGATGCCAGGGCCTCAAGCAGCCTTTACTGAGGTCTAAAGAAGGCCTGCGAGGGCTGAGAAATGGAAACTCTCTTATTTTCTGTCTGGTTCAAAGTTCTAACTTTTTGATCCTGACTCCAAACTCTTTATCTACTACTTTCTTAAAGAATTCACTTTATTATCAAGTATGATCCGTGAGTTCTATGTGGCCTTTACAATGCATTATTAAACCCCAAAGAGACATAGAACCACGAGAAGGGTGAATGGTGGCAGAATTGATGAGCAGGCTAGACAGTGGAAGTCTATGGGGTACCACTTTTTGGTGCTGATTCTGGTCTTACTTGCTCAAAGCCGAAATACATGAAGGAGTCATCAGTAAGGTTGGAGGAAGACTCAACAACAACTGCATTTGGCAGCTAGAAAAGCCTTGCTTAATGACCAGTTATCATTTATGCCTGCTATTTTTGTTAAAAACATGTAGTGACATTTATCTCTTCTGCTTTTTTTTTATTCTACTTAGAGTATTCATTATATGAGACAACTTTTGGGTACCCTTTAATGCATTGCTTTAAGGAGGAAGACAAATGTCACAGAAAAGTAGGGGTTAAATAAATAAGACAAAAAGGGGACAAATAGACAAAAAGGGAATATTAGAATACTCTGCTAAATGTTACTGGAAAATCCTTGAAATAATGTAGATTATTTGTATGTATTTAAATATCAGGCCTGAAGCAATGCTAGTATGATTAAATATTGAAGTGGTATCCCGACCTGATGCATTTCAGTCTTGCTGACCGTTCTTTTTATTCACTCACTGCTCTCTCGCTCTTGCACTCACTCGCTTGCTCGCCCTTATTCAAGTTGATTTCAGCTCATAGTGACCCTCTGTGTTGATTCCCAAGGCTATAACAAGAGGAATCTGCCCATCTTTGTGCACAGAGCTGCTGTTGGATATACAACCACAGTGTTGAGAGTGCTGTCATGGCTGTGATACTTTTAAGGTGAACAATGGTAAAAGATTGTTGAAATGGCAAAGGATATTTAAACAAACAGGCCAATAAACCATGGCTTCAGGCTAATATTTCGTTCAGCAACAAAAGGCTTGTTTATAAAAGGACATAATTTTAGAAAGATAACATCTTGTTGGAATAAGAAGAATTTTCTAATTAATAAGATTAGTTGATCAGTCTAGTTAATCTAGTTATAACCATATTTATTTTCTCTTTATTCTTATTAAAGCACTTTTTAAAATATATATATTGCTTCTGAAAGACAGCTGATATGCTTTGTTTTGTTTTTCTTTTTCACTTTTAAGACTGCTGAGAAGTCAGGCCAAGTTGAAAGAATAAAGAATGTAAGGCAGAGACAAAATGATTTTAAGGTAAGTTGAGACTAAGGATGCAGACTTTTATGGAGGTAAGGTTCCCTTATCCTGAATTGATACAAGACTTTCTCTGTGTTGAAGTTAGTCATTATTACGCAGGCATGTTCCTGTGGTTGATGCCATTTTCACACAGTTTTGTTTGTCACCTGTTTTTCAGAAGATGATTCAGGAGCTCATGCAGTCTCTTGTGAAGTTGACCCGTGGTGCTTTGCTCCCATACACCATTAAGGATGTGGACATGAAGCAGTACGGAGGCTGGGAGGGCAAGTCTGGCCTCTCTGGGCAGTGGCTGGCCCACTCCGTGCAGACTGTGAGGTAAGCATGGGCACCTGCTTCTCCGCAGACACAACAGTTGCTAGTGCATCACAGAAGAGGAATGTGCTCACTGCAGGATACGGCCGAGTACATGTCAGTAAGCAGGATGTTTGACTTCTAAAACTCACTGCCATCTCTTTGTGTTCACTCTTTCCTATGGGGATTTTCTCTCATCCATCTCTTAAACTTTGCTGTATTATGTGTGATGAGTGCATTCTGTGATTCTGCTGTATTGTTTAATTTAGTAATAGGGCCGTATCGCTACTGCAGTGCTGTAAGATGGAGATGTGGATGGGCCAGACCTCCTCATCCAGCTTCACACAGGGATAGAGGGGAATCACTGTCAGCATTCAAGACTGACTGCTGACTCACTATAGGGGGACACAAAACACCTCCAGCTGCTCCCAGTTTTTAACCCATTCAAATATCAGTCATTCTTCTTAGAGCTGTCTTGGTTTCTCTGCGAGGTTGGACCAACCATTCACTGCAGTGGCCACATAGCACTCAAACTGTATACACAGTTAACAGGATTTATTAAGACAGCAACAGGTAATAAAGTAGGATCAGGGATGACTCAGAAAAAAGTTCTTCAGTCAGAACAGCTTCTTCTCATCTTTTCTTTCTGATCTTGTACCCCATTATAGTCTTTTGTACTCCATTAGAGTATCAGGGCTTTAGTTTCTCTTACTTTTAGTATGCTCAAGCTTGATCGATGATGACTAACAAACAGAGGAGTTCTGGTGGCATAGTTTGTAGGAGGGTACTTTTCTAAATAAAAGACCACGTCTGTCTGACCATTTAAAACTTCCAGCAGCTCTATGGGAGAATGATGGGCGGTCTTCTCCTATGTGATTGATAGACCTGGAAACCCAGTGAAGGGTCATCTGTGAATCGGTTATGACTCAATGGCAAAGCGTTGAGTTGAATCTCATTAAATATTACATGGTTGTTCTTGTAATTTCTAGGTTCCTTTAAGTCAATTCCAACCTGTGGTAACTCTACATACAACAGATCTAAACCTTGCTATATCCGGTGCCATCTTCACAGCCTTTGCTGTGCTCATGCCTGATACTCCAATCACTATGCCAATCTGTCTCTGAGGTTCTTCCTTTCTTTCATTGACCTTCAACTTTTCCCAGCATAATGTACTCCATAGTCTAGCTGTTCCTGATAGCATAGCAAAAGTATGAGCTGAAGTTTAAGACTCTTGCCTCTAAGGAACATGCTGGTTGCATTCCTCCAAGGCAGATTTGTTTGTTCTTTTGTTAGTCCATGGAATATTCAGTATCCTTCTCCAACACTACAATTCAAAGACATCAATTCTTCTTTGATCTCCAACTTTGGAAGGGTTCTTGATAGTCAACTTTCCCAATGCAACACTTCTTCTAATTTCTTGACTGTTACTACCATGAGTGTTTATTGTGTATCCAAGTAAAATGAAATTACTATAACCAGTATTTTCTTAATCTATCATAATGTTGCCTGTTTTGTTTTGCTTATGTTAAGGTATAATGCATACCAAAGGTTGTCTTTGTCTACAGCAAGTGCTTCAAGTCTTCTTCACTTTCAGTAAAGTGATAGATGAATGGGATAACGAACACAGACTGATGAAAATGTTGCCTCTGTAGCCAAGTCTGCTTTCTTTTATTTGGTGTATTTGTTCCTAGACTTACCTATGAATCGCTGACAGCCCTGGAGATCCCAAATGACATGCTACAGGCCATCCAGGACCTCATTGTGGACCTTCGTGTACGCTGTGTGCTGGTCACACTGCAACACACGGCAGAAGGTGCGTGAAGCATGGGACCCAACTGAGTGACAGTATGGGGACATGCCACTGCATTCCAGAATGAGAAAAACCCTCGCCAGTGGAAACTTCATTATAGTAGAGCATCGTCTTTATAGATGCTTGATAGACTGTATAAATATATTATGCAGTGTCTTTTAAAATCAATTTAGTTGAGATACATGTAGAAAATATAACTATATAGATAAATAAGATCTTTCTTATGTATTCTTTGGTAAAATCTTTAAGTAGGAGAAAAGTAGGATACAAAACATGTCAGGTATGATCTGTGGTTTGGAAAATATCATCAAAGAGTTGCAGCCTTGGAAATGCAATGTAAGATCACTGTGAATTAGAACCATCTTGGTAGCACTGGGTTGGGTTTGGGTCATGTGTGTGTTTAAAATTTCATTTAGAAATAATTTTGTAAAACTAGAACATACACTTTTAAGAATGACTGCTTGGATAGTAGCAGTTACAACTGATTCTCATTTTTCTTTACATTTGTTTTTTTTATACAGAGTTTTTCGCATTCTCTCCAAAATCTTGAAAAATAGTAAAGGTTACCTTTACAAGGCCTGGAAAATTACGGTAAACGATGCTAGTTCTCAGTGTTAGTTGCCATGCCTTGTAATTGGAAAGGTTTTTCACTAACCACAACTGGTGACCTATAAGGAATGTAAACAAAAAGAAAGGGATGACCTGAGGAGAGACTGGGTGTTACTTTCTTCATGCTCACCAGCCCTCCACAGACGCAGAGCAGCCTCTGCTGGGGGGCCTGGAACTTGAAGCCACCAGACAGTTTATTCCCCTTATCACCACTTCAGCAGAAATTTAGGGAAAGAAAATATTTTGTGGCTAATTGTCTGCATGCTTACTAGTTCCACAAGTGCTAAATAAATACCTAAATAGTAAATCATTGTATTTATCCTTGAACTTAGCCTCACATTCTGTAAATTGGGACTGGCAGTAAAAGTGTTTATTTACTTTAATGTTTTCTGTTTAAAAAGCCAAGGAACAATGTACTTTAAAATCACTGAATCCATTAGAATTATATCCACTGTTGTGTAAACCTATGTGAAACAAATAGAGATAGTAAGCTTTGTAGATGTTTATTTCTAAAAACTTTAGTGAAATGATTATAATAAAAAGTACTTGTTTGTTTTTCTCTGTGTAGAAATAAAGAGATTAGCTGAAAAGGAAGACTGGATTGTTGACAATGAAGGACTGACTTCTCTAGTGAGTTTCAACCCTTTTCCCGTAATCTGTTGTAATGTGTATTACAAATTATTTATAGTGCTAATATTCCCCTTGCAAAGTATTTGTGTGCTTTTTCTTTTCCTTTCCATTTTCTCTGTTTCTTCTTTTTTTAAAAAAATGAATATGTTCTCTCTGCATTACATGTCTGAATGTCTGAATGAATAACTTCTAAAAAATAGAAAATAAGCTTAAAATTTTCCTTCTTGGTTGTTTTTTCTTATTTAATAACAAATATTTTAAAATTAATACAGAATTAATTTCTTTTCAGTGATCTTTCTTCATTTTCTATCACTGTACTATTTTTTAATTAGTATTTTTTTTTTAATTGTTGTTTTTCTTATTGTTATATGCCATAGAGTTGTTTGAGACTTATAACAACCCTATGTACAACAGCTCTGAACCCTGCTCTGTCTTGGGGCCAATTTCATTGTCTCTGACACACATACCCCATTCTCTCAGACACTGAGTCAATCCATCTTATCCAGGGTCTTCCTCTCTTGTGCTGTCCCTCCACCCATCCAAGCATGATGTCCTTCTCTAAGGACTGGTCTCCCCGGTGACATGCTCGAGAGTGTATATGATGGAGCACCAAAACCCTGCCTTCAATGAGCAGCCCTCTTTCACCCTCTCCAGGGCAGGCCTTTTTGTTCTCTTAGCAGTCCATGATATGTTCAGTATCCTTCTCCAGCATCACAACTCAAAGGCATTGATTCTTCTGTCATCCTTAGTCATTTTCCAGCTGTCTGATGCATGGCAAGTAATTGTGAAGACCATGGCCCGAATCAGGTTCACCTTATTCTCTAGACTGACACTGTTACTCTTAAGTACTCTGGAGTAGTTCCTGATAGCAGATTTTCCCAGTGCAATTCATCTCTTGATTTCTTGGCTGCTGGCTAAGTGTTGATTATAGAGCCAAGCAAGCTGAAACTGTTAAGAATCTCAGTTTCTTCTTCATCTATCATGATGCTGCCAATTGACCCATTGGTTACAATCTTTGTTTTCTTGATGTTGAACTTCAATCCATATTGAAGACTGTGTTCCTTGACCTTCTGCAGTAAATACCTAAGGTCTTCCTGAAGACATAATGTTTGTTAATCACTGTATTAATCCATCTTGTTGAAGGTCTTCCCATCTTTCACTGACCGTCCACTTTTCCAAACATGATGTGTTTTTCCAAGGACTAGCACCTCCTAAACAACATGTTTCAAAGTATATGAGACATAGTTTTATCATCCTTGCCTCAAAGGAGCACCCTGACCACATTCTCTGAGACATAACAGTTTGTTCTCTTGTTGTTGTATGCTGTTGAGTCAGAACCGACTCATAGCTGACCCTCCAGTGAATTTTCAAAGGCAGTAAGCTGCATATTTCAGATATTGATTGCCAGCCCTACTTCCTCCTTTGTCTTGGTCTAGAACCTCCACCAAGGGTGACCCTTCTGGTGTTTGAAACACTTGTGGTGTGGCTTTCAGCATTATAGCAACGTGAAGCCAGCACAGTGCAGCAGGCTATGGGCTGAGCAGTGTGCATATTCAGTAATCTAGCTAAGCAGTTTTAAGAGGGTGCAGCAGGCTATGGCCCAGAGGTTAAAGGATTAACTACTGGTCAGAAGCTTTGCAGCCACCAACCACTTCACAGGAGAACAATGTACAGTCCACCTGCATAAAGATTCCCCACCCTGGAAACCTGGTGTGGCATTCTGTTCTTCCCTGCAGGATTGCTGTGAATCATAGTCACCTAACTAGCAATGGTTTTATTGGCATTTACTGATCAGTTTTAAGACTTCAGGTGATATATTTGGTTTAAGGTGTAAAGATTCTTTCAAATTAATAATTTGACAGATTTCTCCACCTTCCATGGTTCAAAAAAGTCTGTATTCTGTGAGAATTGAAAAAATTTAAATTCTTTTCAGTTTCCCGCCCCCCCCCCCCAACTTTTGATCAGAATTTCTCTTTAGAATCCTGACCGCAATATTCAGTCATGATAGGCAGGCATCATCTGGCAAACTTGGCAGTTAGTCCAGACTTTCTGTATCCTCCTCCTAGCCCTGACTCTCTTCCTTCCTCTGCTGCTCCTTGCTTTAGAGTTGCTGTGCCTGGATGGCCGTTTACCCTATGCAGTGAAGGAGGAGTTGCAACGGAAGAACTAAATACACTATTAGGCAAATTAAGTGGCATATACAGTGAACTTATAACCTAAGCCTACAAACCAAGAAACCAAACCCCATGAGTTTTTTATTTATGTAAGCACTTATCTCTCGCTATCTTTTTCTGTTAGAATTGTTTACATACATAGAGACATACAGATACACACACACACACACACACACACACACACACACACACACACAATCTCATGCAGCCATCCCAGTTCATCTTTTTTTGCAGCTTTCCAACTTTTTGACATTAAATAGGTGTAGCCACCATCAAACTTTGGTCTGTGTACATTTGCCTTGTCTTTTTATCTGTTTAAACTCTTCCAGTACCTGTCCTTTTGCGATGGATTTGCTTCTCTCCACTTGCCTTCAATTAGCAGGTAACAAGACCTCATCTCTCCTGCTGACTGAGTGGTATTCCTTTGAACATATGAACCGTATATTTTGTTTATTCATTTTTCTGTTGGTGGGCATTGAAGTTGCATCTGCCTTTCAGCTCATGGGCATAGTGCGACAGTGAACATTACTGTCATTCTCTGAGTTTCTATTCAAACCTGTGGTCATGATAGGTTAGTTCTCCTACATTTTTCCACAATGGCTGTACCAAAAAAAAATTGCATTTCCACCCAATATGGGTATGGGTTATTCTAGTTTCCTAGAGTGGGGGAGTTTTTTTAATGTTGGAAATACTTCCCTTATGTTCCATTAAAGTTTCTATTTCAGGTTAAAAATAGCAATGTATTTTATGTTGTTAATTGCCTTCCAGTGAAGCACAACTTACAGCCACCCTATGAACAAAAGGCCTGAAGTCCATCTACAATTAATGACATTTATCAATGTTCCTAGTTGTTTGATGCTATCAAGTCCAGTATGACTCATAGCGACCCTGTGAACAACAGACTTAAACTCTGTCCTGCTTTATGCCACCCTCACAGTCTCTGACACCCTAGAGCCCATTGCTGCAGTCACTGTTTCAGTCACCTGCTTGAGAGTCTTCCCCTCCTTCACCAACCTTTCACCTTTCCAAGCATGATGTACTTCTCCAAGGAGTAGCCTTTCTTAGCAACGTGCTCTAAATGTGTGAGTTGAAGCTTCACCGTCCTTACATCCAAGGAGTACCCTGGTTGCACCTTTTCCAAGACCCATCTCTCTGTTCTTTTGGCAGTCCATGGGATATTCAGCATTTTTCTCCAGCACCCCTGACTTTGACTAATGTCAAAGACATCAGTACTTCTTCTGTCATACTTATTCATTGTCCAGCTTTGATAGCTATCATATCACAGAACTCCTTTTTCCTAAACTTTACACAGCAGAAAGTACCAATTCCACAGGTTCTACAAATACCATTTAGTTATGCTGATTATATTCTCAAGTTGTGCACACCTTCTTATTGTCTTTTCTGAGATCTCATTAATAGACGTAGTTCTTTTTTTTCTTTTTTTAAATTTTCTACTAGTTTATTTACAAAATTTGAATATATTGTTTTAGTTCTTAAAAGAGCATGGTGTTCCAAGACAAAACTTTTTCACTCATTAAAATGAACTATTTTTATTTGTTTGTTTGTTTAACAAAGTCTTAAGGGGAGAGTGTTGTTTTCAGGTTTAAAGACTATCTCAAGTCTGTAGTTCAAAGAGTTCATCCACTCTGCATGGTTCCAGATGGTCTGGAATCCCTCAGGGCTGGAAATTTTCAGGTACATTGTCCACTTTCATCAAGATCGGTCTTTGGACTCTGATTCCGTTCTTAGTGGTGGTCAGGTGCCATCTCGCTCTTCTGGTCTCATGGCAAAGGAGGCACTTGTTCATGGAGGCAGTTAGCCTCATACGCCGTGTCTTCCTCCGAGTCCTGGTTCTCTCCTGCTGCTGCTGCTGTTCCAGGTGGACACAGACCAATCATGGTGATTCTGAATTATTGCAGCTCTGTGTTATTTTGTACCATCAAGGTGGTACTGACCCATAGCTGAGCATCCAGCAGATTTTCCAAAGGCAGTAAATTAAACAGGAGGAGATTGCCCATCTTCCTCTCATAGAGCAGCTAGTGGATTGAACCACATACCTTTGCACTGACAGCACAGTTCCCTACCACAAGCCAATAGAGCTCCTCCACAACCCTACAGAGCAGAGTAAAACTGCCTTCCAGGGTTTCCAAAGCAGTGAGACTTCCCTAGTCCCCTTACCCCAGCTGCAATGGTTTAGACCACCAACCTTCATAGATCCACCTGCCTGAGCTCCCACCACCTCCCAACAGTGATGGCTCAGGCGCCCAACCTACACGGGTCACACTGCCCCCACCCCCACCATCTTCTCAAGCAGTAGTGGTTCAGACCACCAGTCTTCATGGATCACACTGCCCAGGTCCCCCACCTCCCTTGAGCAGCAGTAGCTCAGACATAAACCGTTTGTTTTGCAAAGCACTTTGATTTATATCTCTCATAGGTGATGGCACTGAGCATGGTTTTATGTGTTTGATGGCCATCCGAATGTCAAAGAATGTCCATTCTGTCTAAGTCCATTGCCTATTTTAGGATTGTTTGTCTTTCTGTTAGAAGTTGTTGAAGCCTTACAAAGATATTTTTTGTTATTAGAGTCTTATTGGATGTTATAATTTCCACAGATATTCTCCCACTCGCTTGTCTTCACTTTTTTTTTTTCTGTTTTTGTGTGTGTGTGATTTTTTTTTTTTTGTCTTCACTTTTGATATATAAAAGTTGGATGTTGGGTTTTTCTTGTTTGGTCCCCCCCCCCCCATTTTTTATGAAACCCCATGTTTCATCTTTTGCTGTTTGTGCTTTTGTTATTGTATTAGTTAATCCATTATTTTAACT